GAAGAGCNTCAGAATTGGTAGGAATCCTAAACTGCTCTTCTAGGGGGGCACACAGAATAAAAATATTTCCCTTGGGATGGGGGGAGCACGAGGGATGGTGCTGGAATTCCAAGGCACTGGGAGCAGTTCCTGAGGAATTCAAGGCCCCGGGGGGGGGGGCCCACTGTGGGTGCTTAGCAGGGTGGGCTCTGGGAGTGCCCAAAGGAGAGAGCGCGTGTGCGTGGACTCCTGTGTGTATGTGAGTGTGCAGGTGTGGGTGTGCGTGTGTTCGTGTGCAGCGTGGTGTGCATGCGTGTGTCCACGTGAGCGTGTGAGGGTGTGCGTGTCGGTGTGTAGGCTCAGAGGGACAGGGCTGCCTGGATTGTGACACTCGCTGCTTACTCCGGAGGTTAAGAAACTAATTAAGAGCGTCCTTCTCAAACTTTCGGTTTTCACTGAAGACTGGAAGCTTCTATTTCCCCCTCTCAGAAATCCCTTGCGGGGAAACAGATACAAGAGAGAAAGCGCACAGGCATCTGAGGGAGAGGCCCTCTTTCTTCCAGTGTGAGGGGCTCTCCAGGAGTCCCAGCAAGAACTCAGGGGCTCTAATTTTCCTCCCCACCTCTTCCCTTCCTTTCTCCCTGATCTTTGTTCTCTCTTTCTCCAGCGCCAGCCCCCGCCCCATCCCTCCTCCATCCTCCCTGCTCTCCTTCCCTTGCATTGCTCTTTGCTTTTCATCGGAATGAGGGGCGCCTGCTAGAACACGTCCCTATTTCTCTTTTACTCATATTCCAGCACAACATCCCTGCGAGCACCGAGAAACATTCGTTTCTCGCTCTCCTTTTTCTGGAAACCATCATTTATTTAATGTTTTTTCCTGTGGTTTAATGAGGCTCCTATTCTTCTGAGGAATATTCCCACGGACAGAACTTCAGCACCCGCTGTTCAGAGGGGCTGCAGGTTCCTTTTCTTCTATCGCCGCACAATGGCCAGCCTCCTTCCCATTAGCCAAAGTGGGGAAAAGGTACCTGACAAACCCACAGCCAGCCCCTGCCGCTGGGCTCGTCCCTCGTGGCCACAGTGCAAGTTTGGTTTTAAAACTTAAAAAAAACCACACACACACAACATTTATCTGAGGTATTATTTTTATTCTTGTGGCATAGCTTTTATATAAACAAATGTCTCCATTTTAATAAGTATAAGAGGATTTAGAGTCCAACTGGTTTCCAGTATAAGGATGGACAGGGATTATACTTTTAAAATTATTTACAGGCCAGGCACAGTGGCTCACGCCTGTAATCCTAGCACTCTGGGAGGCTGAGGTGGGCAGATTGCTAGAGGTCAGGAGTTCGAAACCAGCCTGAGTAAGAGCGAGACCCCTGTCTCTACTATAAATAGAAAGAAATTAATTGGCCAACTAATATATATAGAAAAAATTAGCCGGGCATGGTGGCACATGCCTGTAGTCCCAGCTACTCGGGAGGCTGAGGCAGGAGGATCGCTTGAGCCCAGGAGTTTGAGGTTGCTGTGAACTAGGCTGACGCCACGGCACTCACGCTAGCCTGGGCAACAAAGTGAGACTCTGTCTCAAAAAATAAATAAATAAATAAATAAAATAAAATTATTTATAGCCAGTCAGGGCTATGGGTTTGAATGACTGATGTCATGATGGCTACTGCTGGGGAGACAAAGCCCTTCCCAGAGGGGAGAGGCTCTAGTAGCAGCTAGTGGCACCAAACTTTCGCAGGTATGGGAGCAGGTGTCCGTGCTGCCTTCTACAACACTGGTACTTCCTGGGAGAGGCGCTCATACAACCGGCTGCAAGAGGGCTATTCTGTTTCTTTCTTTCTTTCTTTTTTTTTTTTTTTTGAGACAGAGTCTCACTCTGTTGCCCAGGCCAGAGTGCTGTGACATCAGCCTAGCTCACAGCAACCTCCAACTCCTGGGCTTAAGTGATCCTCCTGCCTCAGCCTCCCGAGTAGTTGGGACTACAGATATGTGCCACCATGCCTACCTAATTTTTTCTATATATTTTTAGTTGGCCAATTAATTTCTTTCTATTTTTAGTAGAGACGGGATCTCGCTCTTGCTCAGGTTGGTGTCGAACTCCTGACCTTGAGCGCTCCTCCCGCCTCGGCCTCCCAGAGTATTCTGTCTCTCTTGACACAAGCAGGTTCAGGGCCAAGCTTTGCTTTTAACTAGCTGCTACACTCTGGGCCAGTCACTTTGCTTCTCTAAACACCAGTTTTCTTTTCTTTAAAATATGGAAGGAATACTTACACGCAAAATTGTGAGGAATAACAGAGACAACCTACTTAAGTATGATGCTCAGTGCTGGTGCCTAGAAATGTTTAATAAATAGTGGCTATGCAGCAGATGGAATATATTTGAAGTCACAGCCTACATGTGGCCCCAGGCTGTGGTAATATGAGTTAAGGCAAATGTTCTTAAGGTTGTGAGCTTTCATCCTTCTTGAGAAATAAGAGAATTTCTTTTTTCTTTTTGAGGTTTGGCCTCGTGGCTGAAAGAGGCTCTTAGAGGCCCTGAAAGTGGTTGGACAAACATCTCAGTGGTGGAGAGCGGGCACTTCTGCCAGAGATATAGGTAACACGCATCTGGACTTTTAAACCACAAAACGGACATTTAGGTTGTTTTCGCTTTTTGGCTAATGGGAATAATTCTTCTCTGAACATTCCTGTACAAGTTTTTGTGTGGACGTTTGTTTTCGTTTCTCTTGGGTATATACCTAGGAGTAAAATTTCTGGGTCATATGGCGACTTTATGTTTAACATTTTAGGGAACTGCCTCACTGTTTTACAAAGGAGATGCACCATTTTGCATTACTATCAACAGTATATAAGGGTTCTCATTTTTCTACATCTTCATCAACACTTGCTATCTGTCTTTTTGATTCTAGCCATCTTACCTAGTAGCTGTGAAGTAGTATCTCACTGTGGTTTTGATTCACATTTCCCTAATGACTAATGATGTTGAGTATCTTATCATGTACTTATCGGACATCCGTATAACTTCTTTTGAGAAACGTTTATTCAATTATTTTCCCACTTAAAAAATTGGGCTGTCTTTTTTATTATTATTATTATTTTTTGAGACAAAGTCTCACTCTGTTGCCTAGGGTATAGTGCCATAGTGTCAGCCCAGCTCACAGCAACCTCAAACTCCTGGGCTCAAGAGATCCTCCTGCCTCAGCCTCCCGAGTAGCTGGGACTACAGGCATGTGCCAACACACCCGGCTAATTTTTCCTATATATTTTTAGTTGGCCAATTAATTTCTTTTTCTTTTTAGTAGAGATGGGGTCTTGCTCTTGCTCAGGCTGCTTTCAAACTCCTGACCTTGAGCGATCCTCCCGCCTCGGCCTCCCAGAGTGCTAGGATTACAGGCGTGAGCCACCGTGCCTGGCCCATCTTTTTTATTATTGAGTTGTATGAATACTTTATATAGACTGTATATAAAATCCTTATCAGATATATGATTTGCAAATATTATATCATATTCTATGTGTTGGCTTTTTACTTTTCTTGATGGTATTGTTTGTAGCAAGAAAGTTTCTAATTTTGATGTCGTCCAAGCCACGGTGTCCTTTATGTAGCATACAATAACACTCTTCCATAATCTACTTGTTAGAATGAGTTATTAGGTTCCTGGCCACATTCAAGGGGTAGGAGGGATCAAGCTCTATTTTTAAAAAATTGTGGTAAAAACACAAAATGAAATCTACCCTGTTAACAAATTTTTAAGTGTACAGCACAGCATGGTTAACTATATGTGCATTGCTGTACAGCGGATCACTAGAACTTTTTTATCTTGCATGACTGAAACTCCACGCCCATTTCACAGAAACTCCACATTTCCCCCTCCCCCAGCTCCTGGCAACCACCATTCTAATTTCTGCTTCTGTAGGTTTGACTGCTTTGGATACATTGTTCAAGTGGAATCATGCAGTATTTGTTCTTCTGTGCCGGGCTTATTTCACTTAGCACAGTGTCCTCCAGGTTCACCCATGTGGTAGCATGTGACAGTATTTTTTCTTCTTTTTTAAGGCTGAATAATATGCCATTGTATGTATAGATGACATTTTGCTTATCCATTCATCTGTCAATGAACACTTGGGTGGTCTGTACCTCTTGGTTGTTGTGAATAATGCTGCTACGAACATGGGGATGCAAATGTCACTTTGTTTTGATCCTGCTTTCAATTCTTTTGGATGACTACCCAGAAGTGGGATTGCTGGACCATATAGTAGTTCTATTTTCAATTTTTTGAGGAACTTCCATACCATTTTCCATAGTAGCTGTACCATTTTATATTCCCACCGACAGTATACAGGGTTCTAATTTTTCACATCTTTGCCACACTTGGTATTTTCTGTTTTTTTTCTCTTTTTTTTGATAATGGCTATCTTAATAAGGTGTTTTGATTTGTTTTTTTTCTGATGATCACTGATGTTGAACATCTTTTCATATTCTTATTGGCCATTTGTATGTCTTTTTTAGAGAAATGTCTGTTAAATTTCTTTGCCCATTTTTATGATGGTTATTTGGCTGGGTGTTGTGGTTCATGCCTGTAACCCTAGCACTTTGGGAGGCCAGGGAGGGAGGGTTGCTTGAGGCCAGGAGTTTGATAACAGCCAGAACAAGAATGAGGTCTCTATAAAAAATAGAAAAATTAACCAGGTGGGGTGGCATGTGCCTATAGTCCCAGCTACTCGGGAGACTGAGGCAGACTAAGGCAGGAGGATCACTTGAGCCCAGGAGTTTGAGTTTACAGTGAGCTATGATGACACCACTGCACTCTAGCTTGGATGACAGAGCAAGATCCTGCTCTTAAAAAAAAAAAAAAGGTTGTTTGCTTTTTATTATTCATTTGTCGAAGTTACTTATATATTTCAGATATTAACACTTTATTAGACACATGGTTTGCAAATATTTTCTTCCATTCTGTGGGTTGCCTTTTCACTCTGTTGAATGTTTCCTTTGCTGCACAGAAGCTTTTTAGTTTGATGTAGTCCCACTTTTTTTTTATTTTTCCTTTTGTTGGCTGTGCTTTTGGGGTCACGTCCAGGAAATCATTGCCAAGACCAATGTTATGAAGCAGATCTACTTTTGAAGGGAAGAGAGTCAGAGAATTTCTGAACGTATTTAAAAACTACCACATATGCTAACGTTCATTTAAAATATAGTTAGTGGCTACAAGGTAGTCCACCACAAGGCAGAATATGCATCCAAAGTGGATTGAAATTGTGGTTTCACCATTTACTCATTGTGTGAATTTGGAAAAAGTATTTAACTCTTGGTGCCTCAGTTTTCTTACCTGTAAAATGGGAATGATCATTTGAGGGCTGTCTGGAAAGTATCCAGCCATCGTTAATATAATGGCTTTACATGGCTGGATACTTTCTGAACAGTTCTAATGTATGTTTCTGTTATAACCTCACTTACCATGTGTGCATTCCAGAAAAAATATGTGTTCTGCAGCATCATGCACTAAAAATAACAGGGCCTATGGAAAAATAGCGTTGGGCAAATGACACAAAACCTTTGTCAGTGATCAGAATACTGACAAAACAGTAAGAATTCTAGTGAAAGTACTTGCATGGTTCTGTGCAGGATTTGGCACCTAGAATCACAGGCAATCAATCCCTTTGCAGCCTTCTACACTGGGGCTGGTGCTCCCTCCTTCAAGTTGTGGGTGCTGGGAGGCATTGCCTCTAATCTTCACTAATCTATCACTTTAATAAGGAAGATATATTTTCACAACTTTTTTCGTAAGCACTTGTAGCTTTGCCAAATGGATTAATATAGCAGAAAACCCAGTGGTTCTTGAAGTCTCTAAATCAGCCTTCTCTTGCACTAAAGAAAGGACTTTGATACGCTTTTTTACTTTTTTCTTGAAGTCTTCATTTATTACTAAGTCTCCTCTATCACTGTGAGAAAGCTTGTCCCTGATCACTTTAAAACATCAATGTGCTGGGGAGAATCAAGTTATGAATCAGCAAGATGTGTTAGGAACATTTACCCATTGTTTCTTTTCTATGAGCTAATTTGCAACAAAGATTCAGGCGCTGTAACAGCCTTATGAGGTTGCTGTGAAGATTAAATGAGTTGATGCATGTAAAACATTAAGAAAAATGCTTTTGATTTGTGAAGTTTTGATTACTGAGGTTTGGATTATAATCATATTTGTTTAACCAATTCCCTCTGAGTTTTCCTGCTTCATTTGAACTATGCACCACCGAAGAACTTATTTTCAGATGGCATAATTTTAACCACTGGATAGCTTGGTGCCTTCGGTAATTTCTTTTAGGCCTTGAGTTTTGGGGACTCATTATGTTTGTGAATTTACAAATATGCATTTATGTATGAAGTGCATTCATGTATAACATAGCTCAGCTTTAATTAATAGAAATGTTTTGCCGCACTCAACAATAGGAAAAAAACAAGAGAAAACACATACCTCAGCTTTTAAGGCACATCCTTGGTTCTGAATAGGTGTTTACCTTCTGTCTATCCACTTTTATTTTCAGAATAATAACTTTAAGGCCCCTCGATAACTCTGAAAAAAATAAAAAGTTATATTATTTCCTGTGTTTTCTCAGGTAGGGATAGGCACTAACAGCCCTGTTTCCTAGGAATATTCTAAAATATGAAAAGAAACAACCTGACATTTTGGTTAACCCTGAATAATGGATAAATTTCAAGTAGAGAGAGCTTGCCTTTCTTCAAACATTTTAATTAGTTGAGTTAGTGTCTCTTTAACAACAAATACTATTATTTATTAGATTTTCCAGTAATCATTATTTGTGTCTTATAAAAGGTAATTTATGAGTATTTTGAAAAATCTACTGTGTCTTAGAGACTATAAATTTTCCTAGATTCCCCTCTTTTGAATTTTTCTTTCGATAGCAACAACCATGACAATAAAAACCAGAAACTAAGATTGTTCTAGTGTTTACTATGTACCAAGACCCTGTGAATGACAATGCTAAAATTGTCCTTTACCTAAATATGTGGATTTGGTACTGTTTTAATCAGACTTTTGTGTAGTTAGGACTTTTAAAAAGAAATTTGTTATTTATTGAATAAAAGAGTGATCAGAGCGGTTAGCACCAGGTGGCGCTAAAGGACTGAACTTGGAAACACTGCGGGCATTGGTCCTCTTGTGGATGGCCAGGGAAACGGTGATGCTCTTCATTTAACGGTTGTGTTAAAGGAAAGAAGGACAAGCATACCAGCAGACACTAAGGATTGCCCCTGTCAAATTGTCTGAGTCCCTTCTCTGGAAAGTCGGCACTCCCTAAAGGTGTAAAGGTAACTTTACTGAGGTCTCAAGTGGCAAAAAAAAAAAAAAAAAAAAAAAAAAAATCATGCTTTTTCTAAAGAAAAATGAAAAAACAAAAACAAAAACCCAAAAACTCACATGAAATTGCTATTTGGAATGGACAGTCTTGCTCTCATCTCTGCAGGCACTCAGGAATGTAGATTAGACAAGGGCAGCAAAACAAGAAAACATTCCCTGAAATGCCTTCCCTCAGGAGTAGACAGTGCAAAATCATTCCTGCCAGCTTGGGCTTTATTATTTAATG